CAGACTGTTTAATTACAGAGCAGAGACTTTATTAAATATTATCTACCAGAACTGTTTTCGTATTGCCCATACACTTGATTATAGACAATATAAAGTGTGCCTGTGACAAAAAACTTTAAAGTGATTTTCAAAATTTTAATATTATAGAAACAAGTTTGAGCCGCAAGAGGATGTATAGTATATGATCAATTAAGACAATTTTCCGAAACGTGTCTATAATCTTTACAGATCCAGGATGAACTATGGTCATTTAAACATTATTTTGACTGCCTCATTGTACATTTTGTGTGTTTATGCTCAGTACTACCCCACTGAAATTCTGCAGTGCTTAATGCTACACAGAGTATTGGCTATCATATTCTCTGCTGCAGTAGTAGAGCCTTTCACAAGACTTGCTCTGCAATATCCCTATGGGATGAGGCGTAATTTGTGAAATTACAGAAATAATGAGACACAAACACTTACTGGTGGTGTTGTTTTGCCCTTGAACCCAAGATGAAAAGTGTACACAATGCAAATGCGAGGCTTTCAATGGTGCAGCAGGCAAGGGCAAACCCAAACCATTCCAGGATCTCTCCAAAAAAGTTGGCTCCACTGACATACTCAAACATTCCTCCTGAAAGTAGGACACAGTTATTTTAAAAGCACCTTAATCAAGGACATCTCTAATGCTATCTTTTACTGCAAGTCCAATACAAGCTGTATCACCAATATCTCTATGTAATTTTTAAAGGCAGTGTTTTTCAGTTCAAGCTGTGCTATGAAGGATCACTTTAGACCTCATTCTAAGACAGACCTTCTCCGGCTCCATTTTTCCTCTTTAAATCATGAAAGAAAACCAGATTTACCAGTATCAGAAGCTAGTTCATGCTTCTGTACATATTTACTTAACAATGATATGAAACTGGCTCTTTCATGATAAACTAGACCTTTTTTAAATTACGTAAAAATAGAAAATATGCTCCCCTTTAAGAGTCCCAGAAAATACTCATAGGTTTAGTTAGCATACAATGTTTAATTTCTTTAAGTACTTCAGAAATTAAGTTAATTATGAACAACTTCATTATTATGAACCAAAATTCCAAATTTATCCTCTAGCTTAAAATGTGTTGCCCTTTTTTTGCCATCCCCCATCAGGTCTACTGCTTCAGCCCTGACACTCAGTGAAAGAAGTAATTGGCAGTCTGTGTTAAATGCATTTTACAGCCAATTATGCAAAAACAATCAGTACTCACCTGCTGGGAATTTTGTAAAATAAGAACTTTCACCCTAATTCCAATATTAGTTTACAAATTGATAACATCTCAGTATCTGCTTTACCAGTGGGACTAAACAAACAGGTATTTGCCAAGTGTAATAAAGGACACATTTTGACCTTGCTTTAATTTGCTTTTGTGATAAAAGAAAAGCAGAATTCTAGCACTTAAGCTGGATACGCAATATCAAAAGGACCAACTCCTCCTGATGGTGCAGCAAATAACATCTTATTTCCGTCAGAACCTTTTTGTACACTGAAAATAGTACAGTATGTTCGTATTTATTTTTCACATGGACACTTGGATTTATACCTATGAAAATTATAAAGTTACCTTCTTGGTGAAAAGTAACAGTCTACTGCCTTATATATCTAGTTCTTCCAGTTTTATTTTTAAAAATCTCACTAAAAACCAAAAGAGAGCAACAACTAAAGGAAAAACTTAAGAGAAACAGCAGAATTCAGAGATAACTTATTTTTCTGTTCTGACTGAGTGTAATATACCTGGAAGAGTCTAATGTTTCCACAAGTGTCAATAAACACTTCTAGATAGGCTCCATGAGAAGTCCTTTCATATTCTCCATTTTACCATGAAGGCCAGAATTTATAATGCCTAACTTCCTTTGGATTTCCATCCTCTTTTCCCTCTGTCTCCCTTACCACAGTAGTTGTTGCTCTCCAATTACCCAAGATCCCTCCCCTCTTCATACGTGGGACAATGTAAGACTGGCCAGCCACGCACGGTTGCTGAGTACTTTCTGCCTTCCCCTCTTGCCCCCACACTGGGATAATTTACGTCTCCTTTCTCCACCCACCTGCTCATTCTCGCGAAAGTTGTGGAAAGCTACATTACATTTTTACCACTTTTTTAAAAATATAGCCAAAGTTGATCAAGAAATTCAAAGACTCGCACAAGCCATGTGAAACAGATCCCTTAGAATACTTGGCTTAAGAGGAACAAAAAATAAAATGTTTCCCACACTATGAAATCACTTCTTGAGGCAGACTATAAACTGCTATTTCCAGTTTCCTCTTGTATCGTAAATGACTACCTCCCCTAAAATACACCAAGCTTTAGAAGGACATCTTTACACATAATCATTTTAGCTTGGGAGGGACCTCTTGAAATCACCTAGTCCAACACCACCACCACCCCTTGGCTCAAGCAGGGCCAGGTAGAGCAGGTTGCCCAGGTGGAGCAGGTTGCCCAGGACCACGTCCAGTCTGGGTTTGAGTGTCTCTACAGATGGAGACTCCACAACCTCTCTGAGCAACCTGTTCCAGTGTTTGACCACCCTCACACCAAAAAAATATGTACAGGTGTAATTTCGTGTGTTTGAATTTTGCACCCAGTGTTTCTGGTCATGTCACCGGGCACCACTGCAGAGAGCCAGGCTCCCTCTCCTTCGTTCCCTCCCATCATGTATTTATTTATACACACCGATAAGATCCCCCTGAGCCTTCTCTTCTCCAGGCTGAACAGTCCCAGCTCTCTCTACCTCTCCTCATATGAGAGATGCTTCTTTTGCTATATACACCTCTGTAATGTTTTTACTCACCTCTTGGTATCTTGTAACCCGTTTCCCCTGGTTTTCTCAGATTTCTAAGAATATGATCAGAATGAATATTGATTGCCATACCAATAAACCACCCTGTAAAACCTGTAGAGAAATATTTAAAATACTGTCTTTAATACACTGAGCTAAAGTGCTTGTTCAGAAAACAAACTACAGTCATATATCACATATTAGGCATATTATCTCAAAGCAGTAGTAATGTAAGCAGTATAAGCGATTCTGGTGGCATCCTACACGATCCCAGTCCCACACTGAGCTCTTCAGTCAGCAGAGCTCACAGTAATCAACAGGTCTCTAGATAAGAATAGTACTGTAAGTATAAAGTTTATTCTTATGTTTCTAGACTTACAAAAATTGTATGCATGTGCACATATACAGATGTAATGTGTATATTTCCCTAAGTTCCACACAGAAAAACAAATACACTAAAATTTTAAACGCTGAAAGAAACAGCCCTTCTCATTCCTGCCAGAGGGACACATTTCAGTCCCCCTCTTTCTTGTGTTTTTACTGACAATATACCAGAGCTTCCACAGCAGACTTCTGTGCAATAAAAGGAATAATAAAATTGTGAAGGAATTCACGCACCATTTACTTGCGTCACTCAGCAAAACAGTTTAACCATTTATACCAGGCTTTCATAGAAACTGAGACTATTGTTGCATTCAGCATCCTCATGTCTTGTTGCCATAATTGCATGGGATAAATCAAAAGGAATTTAGGATTGAAATTCAGTATTTTCACCCTTCCATTTTGAGTCTTTGGCTACATGTTACCTACATTATCCTCCTTTGAAGGTAGCATTCCTTGTTACTAGGAGCAGACAAGATTCAGGTTTTGAGGGTAGATTCGTTGCATTGTTTTGAATCCACCTCCAAAGTTACTGATTTTTATTTAAACTAACAAGAAAATGCCAATGATGTGCTTCTAGAACAAAGCCGCTTCACATGCTGGATAAAGAAAGCTTTGCCTTTTTGCATCCATAACTTGAGTCTTTCAGCTGGTTGTCTTTCAATACAGAGAAATCCAGGGGCATGGCCATCTCAGCAAAGACACTAAGTGGATATCCAGATGCATAAGGCCATGCTGCAAGACTAGTAGGTTGTCAGAGCATACTTTACCAAGACTTAAGCCAAGTTTCAAAGCGAAGCTACAGCTGTAAGTGGACCTTGACTCCTAAACAAGTTGTTAGGTAGGCAGCTTGCTTCTCTCAATTCCTTGTGGGCTGTGTTTACCTAAAGGACCTAGCTCCCTCTTCCACGTGGATTAGGAAGAAATGACTGCTCTGCAGAGAAATTGAAGTTTCAGTGTAAAATCTCTCTCCGTATTTACCCATATAAATAAAAAAAATGTTGTTTGATTGGCTTATGTTACAAAACTTGTAGAATTTAGCCCTGTGAACAAGCATGTTTCCCAACCTTTTGTTCATACAACACAGTACAGTAAGTTTCCATTAGCAACCAAGGTGTGTAGATGCCATATGTAAAGTGCCTTTTGTAGTAAAATTTTACTATAATCCTTTCATCTATACATTCAATGTAACTACATCATCATGAGATAGAATTTACAGACCAATTCGCATAATGACAACATTCAAAAACACAGCGTAAATAATTCAAATGCTGTTGACTTGTACTTTCAGGAAAACAGATAATTTTAACTTTTTTCCTTCAAAACAGATCTCTTTCCAAACAGAGAATATTGAATCCTCACTGCATCCAGCAACAAAAACATTACTAATTATGTATTAATCTGCCACTTGCCAGAGAAGATGGAGACTACCTTGGTTAAACAAGGGATGATATTCATATAACTAAGTAAGCAAGTCATTATCCATACAATACTTTGAAAGGAAATTTCTTAACAAGCACATAGTTTAATTCTACTTAAATACAAACAATATTTCTACTAATTTATTTCAGTATTAGCATGAGGAAACATGTATACTGAAAGGTAGTATTAGTTCTAGAAAGAAATTAGAGGGAAATTAGAGACCCTTTGATTTCTCCGAAATACCACTGTAATTTTGGAGAATGCTACTTGTATATTCTGCATTGGTATCCATTTGTAAATTAGTTTATGAACTACCAAGAACTTTTCAGATAATGCAAAAAGACTGGAGCTTGTTTTAAGAATGCCCAGTTACTAAAGAAGATTAGTTTGCTTCTGTGCATTTTTACCCCTCCTACTTGAAAACTACCACGTGTCAGAAGGAAACAGTCACGTCTCTCCTCACAGACAACAAGCCAATAAATGTAGGCTATTTTCACAGCACCCCTCTTTGATTTGAAGATCCGCTTTCCCCCGAAGCGCTGCATAGCCACGTTCCCCACGTCTATGCTCTGTGGGCATTGTACTTCACCGTCTTCATCCTCAGATTCTCACCATGGCCAGGTCCTAGGACTGCACTCTACAAGGCCAAGAAGCTGGTTATGCACCACAATCTGCATGACTTGGCTTCCACCACAGGGAAACACGGATATGTAAATGGGAAGGGAGCCACAGCGTACTCCAGGGGATTCTCAGAACCACAGGACACACCACACAACATGGATGACCTCACCAGACTACTGAATTCAGGAGGCTTTTTTTTCCTTCATCAAGATAAACCTGGAGATTAATGCCTGGGTTCATACTAGGAGAAGGCTTGCATAAGGACAGTATCTAGGTCTATATTACCAAACAACCTAGCGCGTTGTTGCACCACCGCCCTCTTTGCCCTCGCTCATATAGAATCTCACACAAAAAAGACCTACTCTTGTTCCACATGCTATTTCAGAATGACAGCATGGTAACAGCTGTCTGGTTCACCACCCCTGGGTTTCACTCTGGGTTTCAAGAATATGCAGTGCAAGATGCTGTATAGAAACAGCAGGAGGTCAGTTTCTACAGCTGTGCTGAAAGAGCCTGGTAGACATTTCAGGTGAACCAGCGCCTCATCTCAGATTGCGTGATCAGTCTTTCCAAGGCAGCACAAGATCATTTGAAGCATCCAGGTGCCTATAGATATTAAGGGAGATACTGACCATCCCACATCCCTTGGTCATGAGACCATATCCAGGTATGGACATTGCCCATGCTCTCTGTATGTCCATTCTGAATAGGGAGCAGAGGCGGCATGTGTGCTTGGTTGCCTGACTGCCAGATAAAAAGCCTCACGCAACAGACCGGGTGCTAATGATGTGTCACCTGCACCTTCTGAGTTATAGGTACTGCTCTGCTTTGCAAAGCTGCTGCAAAGAAAAGCATTTTGATGCACAGAAGCGTTAGCTGTCAACATTAGAAGGAAGTAGTTGAATGGGGATTTAAAGGGGTAAGAAGAGACATATGGCATACTGCAAAGGGTTTGATGAAGCTAAAGCAAGCAAAGCAAGGAAGAAGTTTCCAGTTAGAAGCACAAACGTATTAGGAAAGAATACAAGGGTGAAACAGGCAGGTGCATATGCCCCTGTTTGTAGCATTCACCACTTCAAGGTACCACGGGTACTCTTGGTAAGATCACAAACTTTTTATTGGCAAACATACGTAAGGTACATGCTGAAAGATTATGATGTTGTTCCCACACTGGTTTGCAAGCTCATGGTTTTATCAAGTGTTGTACTGCATCTGAAGCAGAATATTTCCATCTCCTCTGAAAACAGACTAGTTCACTGCACTAACACAGAGTCCAGAGGAACCATAAGGGAACCACGTGAAAGTTGTATCACTGATCCAAATCAATTGCTGGTGTTGTATAAGCTATTGCTTCTCCAGAATTAACTCTTAAACGTCTGAAAACAGTCAATCTGTATACTAAGGCTCCACAGACAGTTATTTGAAACCTCCCACCATTATGGTTAATCAGCCCCACTTCTCCAAATTTCTGTCTTGCATACAAACCATCTAATTTCAGCTTCCAGCTACTGAACTTGTTTGGCTGCTACTTATAGACACACTCCCATTTCTCTTCCTCATGTAACTTCATATCAACTGGAGAAATATCTTGCTAGCCCTCAGCAAATATGCTTTCTCGCTATTATTTTCTAACCTTCTAAGCAGTTTTTTAGCCATTTTACACAGAGGCTTAAAGGCATTGCCAGATGTTTCTGAAGAACTGGAACATAATAGTCCAGTTGTTCAGGGAGTCTCCAGTGTACAATACAGCAACTCTGCCTTAGAGTTGACCAAAGCTACAAGCATAAACTGCAGGTATTTGGAGGTACCTAGCTGGGATGAACAGCAAATAACAATTATAATTATCCACTATGTTCCAATTACGTTGATGTGCACTACAAAACAAAAACCAAAAAAGCCAAAAAGACACACTAGTTACAGGAATAAAAGAAACAAGAAGTCTTAAGTTTGGCTATTTCATAGCCATGCCAAAAAAGATTTATTGTGATAACAGTCTCAAAAAAAGTCAGCAAGTGACACAATTAAAATGGTTGCTACGTATAGCAGGAATCTTCACTTTCTTTGTTTTCAGGATAACTTTTTAAAGCAGTATTTTGACTTACAATAGTAACAAAAGCAATACTTTGCTTATGATTAGCAGCACTGGAAATAAATATATGTAAGCGCATATATTCCAAACTGGTGTTATCTGGACAAAACCAAAAACCAAACCCAAACCAAATTAGTACATACACAGAAGTATTCATAACTGAAGGCAGATGAACCTATTATCATTTATACATTTACATTTTTCAGAAATCCTTGAAACACAAAAAAAAAACAACCCGAGGAAACCTGAACAACAGTCTTACTACCTTAATTTTTTTTAAGATATTTCAGTAAGGAGAAATTGATTTATGGCTCCTAATTCATGATTTGTTTACAGCACTGTATTGAGATAACGAAATGCATTAGACAAACGTATTGCATCAGAGTCTTCAACAGTTTTGATCAACGTATCTTTTAATCAGTTTTTTGTTGGATCCAAGTTTAAGGAGACTGGAATTTCAAAAGTACCAAGAGAATTGCAAGCATATCCAAGTGCCTAGCACCCAGGTCATTCCCTTGTACCTCAATTTCTCCGTTTTTAGAGCACAAGCACTACTGCCTCCTAACCTTGGCAGGAGAATCTACTTCAATTTACATTTCTTCAATCTCATAGTCATGACAGATTTAGCACAGTGGTCCTCTACTGTCATCCACAATAACACTGCAATAAAAATAAAAACTTCTTATTCTTGATGTACAAGGCTTGAGAAATCTGGGAGACACACTAACTTGCTCTGGCTCCAGAACAACAAGAACGGTACTGGATCAGATCAGTGATCCACACAGCCCAGTATTCTGCCTTTGACTGACAAGGAAAAAATATTCTGATTTATCCTCAGATCAAAAAGAACCTTCTGTAAAGATTTCCTTGGAAAACGATATTGTGTTTTTGACAGTAGGCAAAAGTAGATGCCTAGGAAACAAAAAAATAGGGCAAAGACAATACTTTGTCACTAAACATCTTAGCCTTTTAATCGTATGTGTGGCTTCAATTATAAATATAACCTCACTTCCTGATAGGAGTGAGTGAACAACCCCTCCACCTCCTTCCTTGTGGGCTAGTTTTGTTCTTTGACAAAGCCCGCTCCTATTAGGAGGGTGAGTGGGTGGGTGCATCTGTGCACATGTAAGTGTAAACATCCTAACACAAAGGGCTTTTAGCATTAGAAGTGGTATCTCAGTACTTAGCAGCTACCCTTACTGGATTTTTACTCCATGCATTTATTTGCTTCTGTTTGACTACATACAAACCTTTAGTACCAAACCTTTGATTTACCACATACAAACTATGACATCAAGAAACAAGGGCTTTCAGTTTAATCTACGTGTTATGTGGAAAATCTGCTTTGTTTGTTCTAAACCTGTAAGCTGCTGGTTCCATTTAAGACCTCAGGTTCCTATAATGAAAAAAAAAATAAATACGACCCATACTTACTTTGGTGTTACAGAATAAAGATGACAATCAGTTCATCTAGCACTTCCCATCTATTGTGGGAAGAAGTGTCAGTTCACAGTTCTAAAATAAAAAAGGTTAAAAGGCTTCCAGCTACAGCAAATGAGACAATAAACTATGAAAAGAGTCACAACGTGGGATTGAAGATACTATAAAATTATAATAAAAAATAAAAAGCTGCAAAGGTAAAGGAAAACTGCACCTAATGTCCTCATGACATGTTTTAACTCACCTGTAATGAAGCATGGACCTTTTAACCATTCTGAAGGGTATTTTGCATAGTTGCTTAAGCTTCGGCCTTGCAAGTATCCATTGTAAACACAGAACAGAAGCGCTAGCACAAAAGTGAAAAGTGGTGTTGGTTTTCCTTCCCGAATCAGAAGGGGATATATGAGTGCCCTATAGTGAAGAAGGAAAGAAAAACTGTTGCATTAACAAACAGAAAAGAGACTTCTGATGTCCAAAACTGTAATGCATAGTCCATATTATCCTGCCTTTCAAATTCTCATTGGAGTCTTTGACCCCATTTCAGAAGGATAGTTCTGCTTGCTTTAACATGTAAACATTCATTTTGTTGCCTAATCGGAATTAGAAGATCAGTCATCTCTCCCCTTCTGACAGACAATTTGAATTTTCTATCCAATGCAATTACTTTGACCAGGGCAGTAAAGGCAACTGATGTTAAGCACAGCATATTTTTCTCCTCCTTTGTTCCTAAATCCTCAGTGGTATCATCAAGCTTTCTGAAACGAGCCAGGTCTCACAAGCCCTACACCAAATCCACCAGCACTTCCAGGGGGAAAAGTCAATCCCCTTGAAATTAACCTAATTGAGCTCAGTTTCCTCCTTGCCCTGAGAGTCATTTGAAAACATTAATTGCTTCATCTTGGCAGTCTTAGTCTACTCTATGACACCTGTGAAAGACATGACAAATCTGCACCCGCCATCCCATTTAGGAAAGGAATCTTGATTGTTTTTCCCAGGGGTTTATGTGCATTAACAAACAAGCCCAAACAAGAAAAGCAGGTGAATGTTTCGTGCTCTGCCCCATGTAACTAGCCAACTCCCAATCACCTATTGATTTAATCACAACATATAATGATATAGGAGCAGGACTACTCAAGCCTGAGCGTTCTTCACCTGTTCTCCAGCTCCCCAAGGACTACTGCTTCAAAAGACCCTTTCTAGAAGAAACAAAGCCATAATGGCTTTCAAGAAAGCATAACAAATTCCTCAATATGATTACTTAAAGCCCGCTACGTTACAACCAATGAGACTGGATAACAGAGGTCTCTTCCAGTCTATGTTCAGCTACAGAACAGCCCCTCAGCCCAGCAACAGCAATAAGCAACTGGAAAACAGAAACTGCGGTACAGCTCAGCTCGCTGTGCAAAACTTTGCCTCGCGTTTCTAGCTTTTCCCAGACACCGAGGAGGAGTTACGCCACAGCTAACCTCTTCACTCTTAAGAATGGAAAAAAAAAAAAAAAAAAAAGAGGGAGTAAAGTCACGCTCCTTGGGTTTCCAAAGCCAGTCATCCACCAGGCCAACTGCACGTTGCCCCTCTCTCAATGGCGAGGACTGTGGAATGCTTTTGGTCAAAAGCAACAGCCTCTGGCAACAAGTGCTGAAAAACAACCGTGTATCGGCCACACGCTCGGCTGAGAGTTAGCCTGGCAAATCTGTCTCTGTATTAGTATGATGGCAAAATTACTTGTGGGAGCATCACCAGTGACTATTGTCAACGGCTTGAAGGGAACAGCAAAATCTCATCCGAGCTCCACTGAGCTGCCTTCCCCCAAGCAGTTTTATGAAATACCCAGACAGCACGGGCTACGTGGCAACCTGGGGCACTCAGCCCGTGTTTTAGTGCAGTTTAATGAATCGTTGAATATCCTGAGCTGGAAGGGACCCACAGGGGTCACCGAGTGCAACTCCTGAAACGAAGACCACGTCGAAAGCGTTGAAAGACACAACTGAAAACCAGCTACTTTTTCACAACATTCAGACTACACGACATCCGCATCCAGAGCTGAACTTTCCCTTCTTGGAACCGCGGCCTTAAGATTACCCCGCCGAGTCATTGCTTAACCGGGGTGAGGGCAAGGGCGCGCAGATGACCCGGCGCGGCGGGAGCGCCCGGCGCTCGCTGTTTGCGCCCTTTCCGAAAGGCGACACAGCGCTCCCCTGCGCGCCGCGCCGCGCCGCAACAAAGCGGCAAGCGCCGCCGCAGTTACGTGCTCAGCTCACATAAAAACGTGAGCGCACCTCGACGCAGAGCAGCAGGAGAGACTTCAGCGATCGTCACCTTAAATAATTAAAATCAATTCAGAGCGGAACCTCAGCGCCCGCAGTCAGGAAAGAGCAGCCGGGCGTTTCCACCAAGACGGACCCCGAACCACCCCG